AGCCACCCTAGCACCAGCACCGTAGACAAACTTTGGGGTGCTCAGCTCAAAGTTCACAAGATTGTGCCCAAAATCACTGCCAAGATCAACCATCTGTGCGGGAAGGATCTGGCAGTCAGCAGCATGCAACTGGCAACCTCACTACAAACTGGAGGTCACCCCCGCTAGACATCTCTGTGGAGGCAATGACAAGTGTCTCGGTCTCACTGCGTCTGATATCTGCACCAGGCGATGCTGGCTCCGCTACCACCACGGGGAGGTCACAGACGTCCAGGTAGCCGTCAACGGTTTAGGGTTTAGGGTTTAGGGTTTAGGGTTTAGGGCAAGAGAGACCTGTAATTATTTTCTATTGTACTCCATAGGAAGTAACTTCACTAGGAGCAGTACTGTGACTCGAAATGCAGATGGAGCCCCCTTGCATTTCTCGCCTTGCTGTCGACTCTACCTAGGGCTGGAAGGCGTGCGCCAGGTGCACGCTCTAGTTTAGGGCTTGGGGTTTAGGGTTTAGGGTTGAGGGTTGAGGGTTTAGGGCCGCTCTTTTCCATGTTCTCAGCATGTAGCACGCAAATAGCAGTGATGTCTAGCAGCCTCTCCAAGACCAATTCAAGCGGAGCGACGTGCTTGGGCGTAGATTTCCTTGACATCGTCCCAGTCCTTGCCACCGACCTCTGTGCTATCCGGATGCTCGAATTGGTTGTAGAGCGCCAGCGCGAGCCCTCTCCTGAGCTTAGGTCATCTCTGCACTTCATGGGTCCCCCTACTACAGTGTAACCCCTCTATACTACCGCCTCCTAGATCCCCCCATGTTTCAGGAAATTTGGGGATACTCAAGCCTACTTCAGGACATTTTAGAGGGGGGTAGTAGGGGAACCCATGAGTACTTGGAGCTTCTAGGATGAAGTTCAAGGCCTCCATGAAGATGCAGAGACCGGCCTCGTTTACTGCAGTCAATGTAATGACATATGTTATTGTGGCCGTTCGCACACACAAACCAATGAACCCGAGACAAAAACGTTGACTTCTTCTGCAGCTCCTGATGTCGGACCCAACTTCGGTTTAGGGTTTAGGGTTCAGGGTTTAGCAGATGAAACTGATATAAAGTACAGGCGAGCCTGCAAAAGTGTTGCGACACGCATGGCAAACTCGTTCAGTTTGTGTGTGCAGCTCTGAAAGAACCCTGGCCTGTTGGAGAAATGCCACAGCCAAGCTGCCCTGCCACTATGTTTTCCTAACCCCCCGCTGCCATTCAACTGACTCCTGGGGCTAAGAAGTAACCGACTTGGTGGTTTCCGAGATTGGGGGTACCTTATGGGGGTCCCCATGATAAGGGTATCCTACTATTTGGGGTCGATATTGGGGGTCCCCTATTTTCGTAAACCCCTCCACATGAGATCACAGCAAAGGGGCACTCGTGGGTAGAGCTCCAGCAGCTGATTATGCCTGAAAGCCGCCAACGGTGCAGTCCCGAGTCATAGACTGTTCTGATTCGGCTGATGCCGTTTTTTGGTGCAGGTCTTGCCAACATGCAACTTGGAAGGTGTGTTTAGTGCTTGCATTTACCCATAACGACGCCTCTCTCTCGGAATCTCGCGTGCCGCGTGGCTCTGTGGTGGATTGCCTCTCCTTTACTCGGCCGCAACGGAGTGCGGAGTGCAGGAGCGCGGGTGGGCGCATTGGAAGTGGTGGTGAAGGTGGCGTCAAGACGGCATGTAAGTGGGAATGGGGTCGAAGGGAGTGGGGGTGGAGAGGAGCTGGAGGCACAAGCATAGCCCAAATTCGGCAACCCACTCACACACGCGCAAAGCGCCTTGTAGACGCCCTCCAGAAAGACACCACATGACAGACAAGCAAGAGGCATGAGAAACCCGTGGGCGCCACCATTTAGTAGATGCTTTTGAGAAATACACCACAAAACCAACAACCACAAGCAGAAGGAAGGAAAGAAAGAGAACTGCCGTGCGGATGCTCGACCAGTTTGTGAGAAGCAAGCAGGAGGAATCAAAAACATGGCATCATGTAGACACTTTCATGAAATATGCAAAACAGGAGGAGGAGGATGAGAAAACACGCGAATCACCATGACAGTCTCGAGAAGTTCATCGCACAGCATACTTCACGTCCACTAGTACTACCTACTGTGACAGACTCTAATGGTGAGTACCCGCGGACGCCGCGTCACATCAAACGTTTCATCCAGAAACCCAGGATTATCATGGATTATCAGTGTGTTGTGCAGGTGTGGAAATGCCAGGGGGAGCGGGTGTAGGCCAGGTCCCAGGGCCCTAAATCCTAGGATTCAGGATTTGAAGGTTTGGGGCGGGAGTTCCCCCCCCCCCCAAGAACCTCCACTCCAGGAAGCCCTGAAACCCTCGAAGCCTTCTGGAGCCCAACCTCTTGCAAGGTGGCACATCGCTTTGGTTCCTGGTGAACATCCAGGCCTGGCCTTACACCCTAAACCCTAAGCCCTCAGCCCCAAACCCTCAGCCCTCAACCCTCTGCTTCTGCCGGAAGCCTGAATATTCCTGAAGCATCAGGACATGTACCGGGAAAGATTAAGTTTTTGAGAAGCTCGGGAGTATGACGAAGCATTCTCGAATCAAGAAAGAGTATCATCAGGATCAGAGGCAGGCGTGATACATGTTTAAAGTAGATATTCATGGTTGTCAAAATTATGCTCCCTTTTTGGATCCCTATTCCAATACGGCACCTAATATTTCGGGTACCCCACAAGGGATCATGACTTTGACAGCCACCCATTTCGGGGAAGTGTAGCGGAAATATGGCTACGGATTCGAACATAAAAAGTCTTGGAGGTGTCATAAGTAAGGAGATCGGAACAGGGATTGCAAAGAAGAAGTTGGGCCTGAACCGCTGGGGTTCTGTAGGGTTCTGTAGGGCCTGTATACTGCGGGCTACGGAATCTTAATGTTAAGGCGACGCTGTCGACAATGAAGCGAGGGTTTTAGCAAATGTGAATGCACTTGACATGGTGCCAGAGCTCGCCACGTGGGATCATGCGGGCATGTCATATCATGCCATCACCGTCTTTAAGGGGTACACGGAGGGACCCTTATAAGGGACGGTTTTTTTTAGGGGTTATTTGGGGCCTACTTAGGCATATCGGGATTACATACGGTTTTTATTTCGGGGTTAGAAAGGGAATAAGACCCATAGCCCGACCTAAAGCTGAAGTCCAGGCAATCTTCGACTAATGGTTTTCCTTGACAGCCCTAATAGTCTCAGAACTAGTGCCCACACGTACAGACTGCACTCTGCCTGACATGCCAAGCGAGCTGCACGCCCGGCCGCAACCCATCAGCGTCGCGAGATCGTTGCTGAATGAAGTTTTCGACCTGCTTTGCCTCAAGGCGTCGCAGGAGTGAGCTCCCAGCTTGACTTCCCGAACAGCTTTATCCAACAATGCGGAACAAGCAGCACTTTTCTTTCTAGAACAATGATATGACGGATACATAGCACATCACCACTTCACAGGCCGCTTCCCTCGTCCTGCCTTTGTTGCAAGGATTTTCCGCTTTGCTTTCCGCTGGGACTTCTCCTGCAACACCACACATGCCCCGGTTCAGTTGGACAGTGACCTTGACAGCCAAGATCTGGTGAGTTCTCTAAATGAGGGTCCCCTTTTTGGGTTCCCTACACAATCAGGGGCTGTCTTATGATAAGGACCCCAAATTTGGGGGGACCATATTTTAGAGAAGTGACCATGTACAGGTGGTATCAAGCTAGAGGTTGCCTTCTGCAAGCAGTGACTGGGCTCGGCCTGTTCCAGTTGTTCAGCCGCACGCCGCTGCTCATCTTTAGCAGCGGCCTGAACCCAGGAACGCATTTTAGGGTTTTGGGATAGGGTTTAGGGTTTAGGGTTTAGGGTTTAGGGTGTAGGGTGTAGGGTGTAGGGTTTAGGGTTTAAGGATACGCTTGACATCATATGAACGCAAATTAGGGGTACCGCTTTTACACCCCAAGTAGAATCGAATCAATCCCCTTGAAGGGACCTTGAAGGGACCACCAAAAAGTTGTACCTTTTTTTTCGGAAACCCCCATATGAATGCTTGGAAACGATGTTTGGTTATAAGCCAGCGCTAGAATGAAATGGCCGGGTTTTCCAATTGCAGAGCCACAACGGTTTTCTAATAGGGTTTAGGGTTTAGTGCTCAGGGTTTTCAAATATGCCTTTGGGCTGACAGCTTTTCTGTTGATGTGATGTTGCTCGTGTTGTTGTACAAGCAAGACGATGGCAGGATGCTCGAAATTAGACCCTAAACCCTAAACCCTAAACCCTAAACCCTAAACCCTAAACCCTAAACCCTAAACCCTAAACTAGGACTCTGGGGCCGCTCGCTACATCCTCTTAGGTTCTTGGTGGGGAATGGGAAATTTTTGGTGCCCTATGAAATCCTCTAAAGGGTATGTAATGGGGATGTTCCCCCTTTAGTAGTCCTGAATAGGGTTTAGGGTTTAGGGTTTAGGGTTGGAGATTATGATAGGGTTTAGGGTCTAAGGTGTAGGGTGGTGCTATAATCCCTACTAAGGACTGTTCGTATAAGGGGGAACATCCAAAGGTATGTATCGGGGATGTAGGGTACCTCATTCCCTAATTCCCTACGAAGCACCATAGCTGCCTGCACGCAGAAAACACAACGCAGCAGGTGATGCCTAAGACTGCCCGATTTGAGACCCCCGGCAGAAACTCTGAACCCTGAACCCGCCTCTATTGCCTCCTTTCGCTCCTCATCTGCCCGCAGTTGCTCGAGCAGCGCCTCTTTGGTTATCTTCGCCTGTGAAACTGCTGTCAAGGGTTTAAGGTTTCGGGTTTAGGGTCACTCTGCTGGATGGGCTGAAAAAAAAATCGCACAGCCTCGTTGCCAGTCTCTTGCCAGACTTCTGCAAGTCGCAAGCACTTACATACTTGAGAGGTTCAGCGCAAACTCAATACTTGCTTTGCGCAGCAGTGATATCACGGAGAGGAAAGCGGGGTGCAGGCTCCATAAAGGTAGTTCTGACGGGCGGCATTCCTCTCCTTCAAAGCATCCAGCTTCTCGCAGGTGTGCGTGTAACGGTGCGCATCACAAACAACTCGACCACAATCTCGGCACCAAAACGTGTCCTGAGCAGACAGGACCCTGAACCCCAAACCCCAAACCCTAAACCTTAAACCCTAAACCCTAAACCCTAAACCCTAAACCGGTAGATGGGGCATGTAAGGCTTACAGCAGGCTGCATTGGGCATAGGGAGTGTCAAGGTTTGTGAGGAATTCAGAGGATGAGGCCAAGGTCTGAACAGCTAGGGTTTGGGGTTTAGGGTTAGGATTAAGGGTTAAGGGTTAAGGGTTAAGGGTTAAGGGTTAAGGGTTAAGGGTTAAGGGTTAGGATTAAGGGTTAAGGGTTAAGGGTTAAGGGTTAAGGGTTAAGGGTTAAGGGTTAAGGGTTAGGATTAAGGGTTAAGGGTTAAGGGTTAAGGGTTAAGGGTTAAGGGTTAAGGGTTAAGGGTTAGGATTAAGGGTTAAGGGTTAAGGGTTAAGGGTTTGGGGTTTAGGGTTAGGATTAAGGGTTAAGGGTTTAGGGCTTGGGGTTTGGGGTTTGGGGTTTAGGGTTTTGGGGTTTGGGGCTTAGGGATACATGCTCAGGCGTGCTGCCTTGGCCACGTGCCTTACACATATGTCTATATATATATATATATGTATGTGTTTTTTTGCATAACAATTCTCAAATTTTCTAGTATTAGACTATATTATGGCATTGACAAAAGAAGCCTTTCCTTTCTGGCATCCTACGAATGCTCAGAAGGTCGGTTGCTTGCAGCCTGCTTTCGCTCAGTCAAGAAACGCCTTACCCTGAGAGCTACCTGAAAACTGACAGCAGCCTCGCTCATCACAACATTCATGTCGCCAGGGCTCCATCATACTCTTGATGATGACCTTGCTTCAACTAGGATGGCCCCTTAAAGCCCCCCCCCACCCCCTCCCCTTAACGTATTCCTAAATAGGAGCCTCTTCTTCCCAAGAAGGGAAAAAATCGAAATATCCCAAGGGCCCACCTATACAAGCATCTGCACATGAGGCCGGCACTTGGTGACCTGCCAACCTTTCGAACTGAACCTGCTTTACCTCCAAATAAAAATATACTTGAAGATGCCTATGGCAGATTTCTGGCTCTGTCACCTGGCCAGACTGGCATTCTGCTGGGACATGGGAGCAGGTGGAGCAAGAGTTCCTAAACCCCAACCCCCAAACCCCAAACCCCAAACCCTAAACCCTAAACCCTACACTTTAAACCCCACACTTTAAGCCCTAAGCCCTAAACCCTAAACCCTACACTTTAAACCCTTACACCCTAAAAAACCCTCCACCCTGAAAAAGAGTGCCTGGGCTTCCTGCCGACATGGTCTCCTTGTACTTCTTCGCAAGACCACAGGTGCCACCACACTCGGCGCACTTGGTCTTCAGGAATGCCTTGCGAACTTTAGGAGCGAGTAGTAGACCCTAAGCCCTATAGCCCGAAACCCTAAACCCTAAACCCTGAACCCTCAACCCTGTACCCTAAACCCTAAACCCTAAACCCTAAACCCTAAACCCTAAACTTTCTCAGCTCGGACTTCCAGGGAGAGATCTGGCAAGGGAAGCGCCAAAGGCGCCGGGAGCGGGCTGCAAACTGCTTGCGTTGCCCCCTATCTCTTGCAAGCCCTAAACCCTAAGCCCTAAACCCTGAGGCCTAAGCCCTAAACCCTAAACAATTCAAGCCAGCCTTCTTGTCCTTCAAGATCAACTCCTCCAACTCCTGTGTCATCTTGCGGAGTAGAAACCATGTCAGGTTTAGGGTTTAGGGTTTAGGGGTTTAGGGGTTTAGGGTTTAGGGTTCAGGGCGCTTTTCCATTACTCCCAAAAGCTTCTTCCAGGCTATTGTTTGGCTCATACCAACCTCTCACCCCACCCCTTTCCGACTGCTGACGCCGCACGTGAACTGCGATCTTAGGCTTGCTTAGCCTTAGCACACCTGCCGAAGAAGGGAGACCACGCATCGCCATGCTGAGCGTGGAGCTCCACATGGCGAATGTCGGATGCCCACACCGGCAGTCTCCCTTTTCAAACAAACCACCTGATGTTGGCCCCAACCTTCTCCACTGCTGCGATCGCTCTTCACCAGGCATCCCTCCAGTTCCGAAGGTTTTTCTTTTTTTCTTTGATCTTCTTTGTGAGTCTCCAATACCAGCAAACTCGAACTTGTCCTCATGCTCTCAAACATCGGGAACAAAGGTCGGGTATGGTTTAGCATCGTGGCATGCAAGCCGACAGTGTCGACAGCCATTTGGAAATTCCCTCTGACAGCTGCCCTGCTGTCGGAAAAAACAAGCAAACAAGCAAACAAGCATGGGCAGCCTGAATCTCATCCGGATTCACTGGTCATGTCGCCGACGTTCGAGAGCAGCCCCGACCCCAACCAGCTTCCATCACCCCAGAACCTCCTGGGGCCGGCTGACACCGGCCGACAGGGTCATCGTATCTTGTCAGTTTCTGTTTGAGATCCGGCTTTGGGCTTGTTTGTGTGTGTGTGTGTTGAGGTTACGTTGTTGATTCACTCCAAAAAGCCTTCCTTGACCCGGAACCCTCATCATCAACTGCAGGACACCCCCCCCCCCCCCCCGCAAAGACCCCAGTCCTCTAGCCTCATTTGGTGAGAGGGTATAGTATATGAGCTCAAGCTCCCTAAACCCTAAACCCTAAACCCCACATGGGAGAGCTTTTGGGACAACGGTTCATGGTTCCCAGCCGCAGTTCTGCTAAGGCATTTGAGATGAGTCCTTTGTGTGCACCCATCTGTCACCGCAGGCAAGCGTGGGCCGCCTGTGAACGCCTTGATTGAGTAACAGAACCTAGACCCTAGGCCCTAAACCCTAAACCCTAAACCCTAGACCCTAAACCCTAAACCCTAAATCCTAAATCCTAACCCTGCGTCTCCTGGCTCGTGAAGACGCTATCTGGCGCCTCGGCTTGTGGGTCTCGCAGCCGGGCAGCGGCCTCCATCGCCCTGATACACGAAGAGCTTACTGTTGGTTAGGGTTTAGGGTTTAGGGTTTAGGGTTTAGGGTTTAGGGTTTAGGGTTTAGGGTTTAGGGTTTAGGGTTTAGGGTTTAGGGTTTAGGGTTTAGGGTTTAGGTACCCTAGAGAATCCCTTAGACTCATTCCCTCATTCCCTGCTAACCAAGAGCAAGAAAGTCAATGCACGTCTCATTCCATCAGGGAGCAGGCTGATCAGAGTTTAAGGGTTTATAGGACTTATAGGGCTTTATATTACAGGGTTTATAGGGTCTATAGGGTTTATAGGGTTTGTGGGGTTTATAGGGTCTATAGGGTCTATGGGGTTTATAGGGTTTATAGGGTTTGAAGGGCAATCACAGGAAGATGTGGCAGAGAGTCGCACGAGGGCCGCTGCCTTGTGCCGCACTAGGCCGCTTATGGCTCTGGAGGAATGGATGCGGGGGTTTCTGAAAGTAGGGGTACCCGTTTTGGAGGTCACTTGAAGGGGATTCTATTCTATTTGGCGAAGATGGGTCTAGAAGGGGTACCCTGACTTGGGAAATATCCAATGTGTTTGCAAACATACTTGTTACTTTGATGACTTTACTGCAGCTTGCATAGCAAGCCCTCAACAGGCCAACGGGCAGTGCTGTTTTGTAGCGTTCATCTGCGTTGGCCCCTGGTTGTTGAGTAAGCTTAGGCTGCTTGGATGTACTCGTCTGTATGTCCTGTGCTGGAATTGAGCCGCTGGCTATCTTCGTGCAAGCACGCCCAGGTTCTGGCGGCGCCACTTGTGCTTGCCTCAAAGAGGATGGGTACAGCGAGTGCAGAACCGAGGACACAATAACTATTAATTATAAGGGTGATACACGGTTCAGGGAGGTGGGGGATCTACTAGACTTGGGGCCTTAAAGGGCGGCCCTAAATGCCTGAAAACGTCGAAAACTCCCACATCATTCGAATCTTGCCAGCTCGGCACGATGAGAAAGCGGTTTTTCTTAAAGTCATGATGCCAAGCTCATCCTCAACTCTTCTGGCACGCCGCGGAGCTTCGCAGCACGGCTGTGCATCAGTGACAAGAACAGCTCCCGACACTGTCAAGAACTGAACGTGCAAAGTTCCATTGCGCCCGGTGTACCCAATTCTCATATATCATACACCTCGCAATATGCCGTTGCTGTTATCGCGTAGGTGTTTTGGGGCACTGCTTCAAAGTCTTTTGCCATCAGTTCCTGGCAGCATCGAACGAACATCTGCGGTCAACTGGCCTGAGGACACAGATCTGAGTGCAGGAACACGCTGCTAGTGTAGATGGTGCTATTGTGCACGATTTTGTTTTCTTGGCCGATAGCGGCAACCACATGGAAACTTGGCGGAACCCAGGCAATCTCATCCTAAGCCATAGCGTCCCTTCCAGGAAGCCTTAGTTGGTGACACTTTGTTGCAACTGGCATCACTAGCGGGGAGCTTTGCCCACGCTTCGTCTCAGACTCATCTCTTTCGCAGCCACGTTTGCGGCTCAAAGCAGTCCGGCACCTCCTAGCTCTGCACCCCAAAAAATGAAGGACTCGAGAACATGCTTGGAAAGCTGCTTCAAAGACTTCACGTGATCAGTTGCAGTTTAGGCGCGCCATCATCTTTGACAAATATCTTTGCACATGTCACCTGTTCTTGCATAGAAACAATGTGAAGTGAAAAAGCGGAGGCACAGCTCGAGAATTTCGTGGCAAGGCTTCTTCAACGACTTCGCGTGATCAGTTGCAGCTCAGGCGCGCCATCATCTTTGCGCTTCATCTTTGCGACGGTCACCTGACCACAGACAGCGTGATTTGCAATATCTCTTGATGGAAATAGTTGAAAGCTGCAGTTCCCTCGGCCTCTAGCCACGCTTCCGGGATTTGTTGGACCTCTGTTGCTGGTTGGTTCGTCGGTTGACCAAGAGACTTGGGAGACTCGGGGCCGAGGAAGCAGATGCCTCCTCTGGCTCTGGCTGGCACGGGCTACACGGAACCTCCTCAGAAACGTCGGCCCAGGATGGCCTCGGAGGTTCCCTTGGCACCAAGGTCTCTTGGTCGCAGATGGTGCGAGGCAGCTGTGGGGCTGCTGCGGGAGGCGGAGGGGGACTGACGAAAGCTGCAGTTGAAGGTGTTGGGCCTGGCGGCGCATGGTAGGATGGGATTTGGAATTGGGCGGGGGGTGGAGGTTGCCACGCCGGAATCGGCTGGTAGCTGAGACCGGGCGTCACCGCGTAGCAGCTCAGCGGCGCGAACTGTTGCGGTGGCAGTGGCCAGCAGAATTGAGCCTGCATTGGAAGTTGCTGGATGACTTGCTGTGGTGGCGGTGGTGGTTGCCAGTAGCACTGGAAGTGCTGCATGTGGGCAGATGGGTATTGAGGTGGGTATTGAGGTGGGTATTGAGGCGGGTGTTGCGGTTGGTATTGAGGTTGGTATTGGGGTGGGTATTGGGAGCATTGGAGGGGTCCAGGTGGCCACGGCGCCATGGGGTGGGCTATCTTCGCCCACCACTCAGGTGGGGGTGCTAGGCCGCCCCTATAGTCGGGCCCATATACTGCCTGTTCCCCGACAAAGGCGGGGGCAAGCTGCACAACGGCTGGGCCTGACATTCTCGCAAGCAGAACTCGCTTTTCTTGAGCCGCCCGTGCTGCAGCACGCAGCGCGTGCGCAGGGTGCGTGTCACGGACATGTCGCTGCTCTGCCTTTGGGAATGATGGGTTCAGGTGCAATGCTGGGCACGTGGGAGCGCGACACGATTCAGGGAGGACCTCGCCTACTCCAGTTGATACTTGTCTTTACATCGTTGAAGTTTTGGGTCGTCGTGTCTCTGGGCCCTGCAAATACATATAGAAAACCTATATGGTGAGTTCTCTGAATTGGGGTCCCTTGGGGCCGCCTTATAATAAGGACCCTCAAACGGACCATAACTTTAGCGAAATCACAATAGGGTGTACCAATATGTCATGATTCGGGGCATACCATTCCATTCTACTGCCTACCGCAGCATGTGCAATCCTCTTGTAAAATTAAATCTTCACTTGAGGGATTCCGACCCCGCCCGGCCTTTTTGGGAGGAGGGTTCTTCGATATTTGAGGGTATGAAGGGGAGCCAAAGCGCTGGAAACCCAGATGACGCAAATGTTGAAATCGGGACCTGCCGTATCACGAAGACGGGCTGTTGTGCCATGTACATGTCGCTATACACAGTCAACTGGCTTGAGGCCCTGAGGACACACGTCCTCATGGCGGAGATTCCTCGGCCGACAGCCGCAACCTACATGGGGACTTCGAACACTCAAGCAAGCCGAAGCCCAAAGAATCTCATGCTATTACGCCTGGGGACATTCAAGAGCACGGTCACGATGCAGGCGACTTGTCATTTAAGGGGTCTAGAGGCAGAACATCATGGTGGGCTTGCTGCTTGAAGTGCTTGCAGATGGTAGCCGTGTTCCTTTAAGGAAGGCTTAGCTGGTGTCAGTGTGTCGCCACTGGTGTTACTAGTGGGAAGCCTTGCCCACGATTCATCTCATCTCTTTGGTAGCCACGGTTGCGGTTCTCGACAGCAGTCTGGCGCCTGCCAGCTCTGCACCCAAAAACAAGGTCAAGCTCTCGAGAACTTCGCATGTTTGCTTCAAAGACTTCACGCGATCAGTTGCAGCTCAGGTGCGCCATCATCTTTGCGCAGGGAACCTCCTCGGAAATCTCGGGCCCCGGGACGGGCTTTGGCGCGAATGTCTCTCGGGCGTTGACGGTTCAGCAGCGGGGCTTCTGTTGGTTGGGGCTGGCGGTGCATGGTAGGATGGGATTTGGAATTGGGCTGGGGGTGGAGGTTGCCATACCCCGGAATCGGCTGGCGCTGGTAGCTGGCCGCCACCGCAAAACCTCTCGCCGCTGAACTGCTGTGCGGTCACGCCTGGTCTCAGTTGGCAGCTGAGACCAGGCATGACCGAATGGCAGCTCAGCGGCGAGAATTCTTGCGGCGACACCCTGGCTTTGGAAGTTGCTGAATGACTTGCTGTGGTGGCGCTAGTAGCACTGGTAGTCTTCGCCCCCCCCAATAGGCCCAGGGGCAATATCGAGCGCACATCTGCAGTCGACTGGCCTGAGGATGCAGGTATCAACGCGCAACCCTTTCAGAAGAACACGCTGCTGCACTTTTTCGGTCGAGTACGCGCTTCTTCTTAAGCATAACCCGATCCTAAGCACACATGTTGAACGGGGCTAGTGGTGGTGGACAGTGCCAACAGGACCTGCGGGCTTGCTGCTTGAAGCATTTGGTCTGGCACTGCAACTGCAACTGGTCACTGATATGCTTGAACTTGTTTTGCCGGGTAAACAACTGGGCAGCAGCTAGAATTGGCATCCAAACGCCGTTGGCGGGCATAGCCAGGATACCGAGACTAAATCTCAAACCCTCACACCCTCAAACTCTCAAAGCCTCCAACCCCGAAAAATAAAAAACACACTCCAAAATACCCCCAATCAGACTCCCAAACTCTCACACTCTCAAATCCCCCCTCCCCCCCCCCAAATGTACCCGAAAGCCCCCAAAATCCCCCCCCCCCACACACCAACATGGCCGACTGCCGCCTCGGAAGTGGTCGAGACGCGCTAGGAGCTCCTGAGGGTTCATAAGGGTTTATAAAGGATAAGGGTTTACAAGGGTTCGTGAGGGTTTATAGGGGTTTAGAAGGGTTTTATAGGGTTTTATGAGGGCTTGTAAGGCTTTTATCAGGGTTTGTAGGGGTTCTAAGAGGATTCGGTAAGGGTTTTGTAAGGGTGCTATAAGGGTTCATAAGGGTTTTATCAGATTTGTAGGGGTTTTAAAGGGGCCTAAGGGCTTTATCAGGGTTGTTTTGGCGTTTTTGAAGGGGCTTTCCCAGGGCTTGGGGTTTTGGGGCTTGGGGGCATAGTGTAGGGACTTAGAGGGTTTAGGGTGTAGTTGGCAGGAGCCAATAGGTATAACGTGAGGTTTTGTCCTTCTATTCCACTCAGACCGATTAAGTACAGCATAGCCGTAGCATGTCAGAGTCGAATTGTGGGTGCGGGTTTCGGGTTGGCAGTTTAGGGTTCAGGGTTGAGGATTTAGCGCTTACGGCTGGTGATGTTCTGGTAAGCCCTGTACTTGTTAGACTTCTGCAATTTGCGGGCACTTTTTGTGGCTTGATATCTATATTGCGGCTTCTTGTCGTTCTACGTGTCGTTGCTTGCTTCCGGTTGATATGTTGATGTGCTATGTACTAGACATAGCGAAGATGAACAACGGAAATAAAAGAGAGCTTAAGGGCGAGGTTTTAAGGTTTTTGTGCCGGAGCCGTTTAGGGACTTTGTGTCAACCCGAAAGCCTGAACCCCAAGCTGTAAGCCCTAAGCCCCCAAGTCGAAACTTCAAGGGCTTTGGGTTGGGCTTTGTATGGCTTGGGGTTTCGGGTTGTAAGGGCTAGGGGCCGAGGGTTTAGGGTTATAAGGTCAGGCAGTACGCTACGTTGGAAACAAACCTTGACCCCTGACGCCTAACCCCTACACCCTAAACCCTCTAATCTATAAACCCTGTGAACCCTAACCCAAAAACTCCAATCCACAACCCCTCGAAGCCCTCTCGGGTTCTTATCCGGGGGGTACTTTCCCAACGTGCGGGGCCATAAGGTTCTTGAGCGAGAGGGTGCAGGCGGGGCAAGCCTCCCCAAAGTTCCCCAAGATTCCTTTATGGGCGGGGCCCCCTAGGCTTTCCGAGGTTGAGGTGAGGGTTTGTTTGGGGTTTGGGTTAAGGTTTGTTTGAGCTTTGGGCTTTGGTGTTGGGCTTTGGGTTAATCGAAAACCCTCCTGACTAGAGCGAGGAGGCTCATGCCGCGCGCTCGCGGCCATGCGTGCAGAGTTGCAGCCACTTGTTTAGCATCACTAGTATTGTCAGGAATATTGCATTTGGTTCTAACTGGTAGTGTGCGTACTAAGTAGTACTAGCACTACTACTAGTGACTCGCAATGATGCCGAACATGCTTACAATAGAACAAACCTCCGGACCTGAACCCGTACACGTAGACAAGAAGATGATCTTCGACTCTTCGACTAGACTGGCTGCCACGTACTTTCTGAACCGCATGCAGCGACAGTATGCAGTGTCATCGATGTGTCACTGTCCCCCTCAGCCATCCACTCAAAGACTGTAAGGATCCACTGCTGGTAGTCTGGCTCGGGTGGTTCAAACTGCCAGGAATGCTTCTCGATGTGGAGCCTGTAAGAGCCGCTATGTCGTCAGTGCTCTGTTGGGGTGCTGAATCATAGGGTTAAGGCCTATAGGGTCCAGGGTTTAGGGTCCAGGGCTCCCAGGTGTGCCATCAATTTTGCACCAGTCACCTGGCCACCGACCCGGCCTTAGCAAAAGGACGGAAGGTCCAAGAAAAATGGGCACTGATATTTTCCAGTCGCGAACGACTCAGCCACTTAAGAGAACTGCAAGAGCGCACAGGAACCCCCCCCTCGTTTTCACAGCATCAGGCCAGGTTTGTTGGGGCATGCCGCTTTGCGGGCCACGCAGTCAAAACAATGCCCGGTTGGGGAAGAAGGAAGCACCGCAGCACGAGGATTTAAGGTCTAAGAAGATGAAGGAAGATGGCTTGCTCTGGTTTCCGTCTGGACTGTATGCGAGACTCAGATAATCACAACACGCCCTATGTTCTGTCTGATGCCGGCTGTGGCTCATATATCAGCCGACCCACAACTCAGGCGTCGTCCCTTCTCTGAGCTTACTGAATGCCAAAGGGTACTGCTCCAGGTGGTGTGATGTCTAGTGCTTAGGTTTGCGCCTTGTGGGTCGAATATCCAAGCTTCTGAACAGTGCGTTTAAAAAGGACGTTTACAGCCCAACAAGAAAGGAGATCTAGGACTCATTGAAGACTCGTTGAACACTCATGCCTGTTCATGACAGCTACTGTTCGTCTGGGGTTCACCATGCTGGATCTAGAAGTGGGATGCGGTCGGCCCCTTCCCTGAGAATGGGGTTTGGGGTTTAGGGTCTCCACTCACTGCCAGCGCAGAAAAAGCGTCAGGTTGCGCAGCCTCAACACTGGGCGCATCGATGACAGAAATCTGACTATCAGACGATCAAAAGCCCTGGAGACGTTCAGAGCAGAAGACCAAAACCCACCCTAACCCCCAGAGGCGCAAAATATCTATTCTGCCAGCGTAGACGCCAAACAGTAAGAGGTACCATGTGGGCCAGAAGCCCAAACGAGATGACAGCTTCGCATTTCGCAAGCCCACGCGTCCAAAGGCGATGACAGCTTCGCATTTCGCGCCGAGTCCGATAGCCAAAAGTGATGACAGTTTTTGGGGGGACGGCAAGCGCGGTCCGCGCCTGGGCGAGAGCGCGATTGTCGTCCAAGCAGGCTCCGAGAAAACGGAATGGTCCGGGCCGCAAGCGCGCCGGCCGGACGCGGCGCGTGGCCCACCACCCTGGCCCTTCTTACCTAGACCCAGGAGTAACCTAGGAATAATAAGGGTGCCCTTTTTGGTTTTAAGGGGACTATCAGGAGCCCACCCTAAAAACGGAAATAATGGCCTACTCCGGGTCCTAGTCGCTCTTGATTGGAACCACTAGTGTCGACAACAC